CTGTGAAAAATCCCGGCGAACGTCCGTAACTCCGTTCGAGAGAAACCGAGCGAAACCAACGGGAGACGAGACCGACGACGCGACGCGATCAGCTCTCGTAAAACGCTCGTTAAAAAGTTCGAAACGAAACGTACTCACACAGTTTCCGATCCGGAGCGACTCGATCACATATCCTCCGATTTCACCCAGCCGGTCTTTTCCTTTTTCTCTTGCATGGCCGGAGTTGCTTGACCCGGAGTTGTTCTACGTGCGTACTCCAACAGATTATACGGAGTATCGGCTACGATCTCCGATTCCCATGTAACTCGCGAACGTGTACGAGATACCGTGCTTCCGACGCGGTTAATCGCGGATTGCTCGAGCATTAAACTCGCGTCGCGATCGAGCAGAGAACGCGGAGGTTATCGAGGGAAAAAACATTGAAACGAACCGTTGTGCTCGATCGAATCTAGCGCGGAAAGAGCGGACGCAGAATCCACGTCTGTACAGCTCGACTGCCGCGAGACCACTGATCCACGATCGTCGAGTATTTCTCGACCCTGCCTGTGCCCGCCTGCCCGCTTGTCCGCTTGCCTGCCCGAATCGCCTGCCTGCTCCTATGCCCTGTCCGCGTAGCTTGCTACAGCTACACAACCGTATAGCTCTCTAGCTATAGCTTGCTGTAAGCGTAGTCGCAGTTTATAGTCTGCGCTACTCTTTCCGTCGTGACTGGAGCGTACGTGCTTGAAACGACGCGACGCGACGCACGCGTCGACCTTCCTAGAGCCCTCTGGTTTCCTCGATCCTCCATAGATGGCCGGGAATCGTGCGCGGCTTCTTTAAAATTCATTCTCCTCTACGCCCTACGCCCTACGCCAGGGGTGTCAATGCCGCATGCGGCCCGAGATGAACATTTTTGCGGCCCAGTCAATATATCCGACGCAAAGTAAAAGTAAGATAGAAATGTGAATTAGAAATTTTGAAAGCAGTCTCGGCCAATAAAATTTCTCCCGAAATAGGAAAGATAGTATCGGAGAAGAGATGTCAAGTATCAGGACGTAAACAATAATTTAACTTTATATGTATATGTTTATTACAATGTACTAGTCAAAATAAAAATATTTGTTTCTATGAACATTGATTTTTCTTTTTTTTTGCGGCCCACCGAAAGTTAAGCATTGTTTATTTGGCCCAAGTTAGCTTTTGAGTTTGACACCCCTGCCCTACACCGTCTACGCGGCAAGGATCCGCGCGTGCTTCGAAGCGGGCATGACTCTCGATGTACCGACCCCATGTTAACCCTTTGCACCACTAAAATTATCACATCATGTTCTAATATAATATTTATATTATCGAAGCTTAGATACAAAAAGATTGTTAAAAGTCTAACTGTTGCATGAGTCGCAAGACTCAATTCTCATATGCATGAAATACACTTTGTCGTATAAAATGGAAATACTGTAAGTCGGAAAAGTTAATTTAGATTTACAGTTGAAATGGCTTCGAGTGCAAAGGGTTAATAGGAAACGAAAAGCTGCTTCGGGAACCGTTTCACGCGACGACACAGTGGTGTCCGTAATTATAAAGTCGAAGTAACTTTTACATTGTTACCGATTATATATTTAATTATTAAATTAATAAATTAATAATTTTAATAATTAATAAATTTAATTATTTTTTAATTATTCGATAATATAATATTTCTGAAATATGCAGCATGCATATTTCGAACTTCGCAAACCATTTCCGTGCTGTAGAATTGCCTATGACACCTTCTCCGTATACGTTGCAAATGTCCCGAGCTGCTTCAGCAGCTTTTTAGCCTCGATGAAAAGCGAAGAAGAGAAGGTGTCGAAAATGTTGCTTTTTACCTCCTGGATATTCCATTTATAAGCCTCGAAAGTAATAAAAAATTAAATTACTCAAAAAGACGAATAGCAAAAAANGAAAAGTTAATTTAGATTTACAGTTGAAATGGCTTCGAGTGCAAAGGGTTAATAGGAAACGAAAAGCTGCTTCGGGAACCGTTTCACGCGACGACACAGTGGTGTCCGTAATTATAAAGTCGAAGTAACTTTTACATTGTTACCGATTATATATTTAATTATTAAATTAATAAATTAATAATTTTAATAATTAATAAATTTAATTATTTTTTAATTATTCGATAATATAATATTTCTGAAATATGCAGCATGCATATTTCGAACTTCGCAAACCATTTCCGTGCTGTAGAATTGCCTATGACACCTTCTCCGTATACGTTGCAAATGTCCCGAGCTGCTTCAGCAGCTTTTTAGCCTCGATGAAAAGCGAAGAAGAGAAGGTGTCGAAAATGTTGCTTTTTACCTCCTGGATATTCCATTTATAAGCCTCGAAAGTAATAAAAAATTAAATTACTCAAAAAGACGAATAGCAAAAAAAAACAGCAAATAACAGCAAAAAATCTCGTTGTAAAAGAAAAGAAAATATAAAAACGCTACGAACTTATTCCCCAACCTAACATACAGGGTGTCCCAAAAATGTCTCGCAATCCGGAAATGGCAGGTTCCTCGGATCATTTGAAGCAACTTCTTCCTTTACAAAAATTTTCTCCCAGGCACCGTTAACGAGTTATTAGCGAAAAACAGTGACCAATAAGAATCGAGTACGGCTGGCGCGAGGCGGCCCAGCCAACCAACGCACGAAGCCCAGTTCCGCTCATTGGCTCGATCGCCTCGCGCCAGCCGAGCTCGCCTCTCATTGGTCACTGTTTTTCGTTAATAACTCGTTAACGGTGCCTCGGAGAAAATTTTTCTACAGGAAAAAGTTGCTTCAAATGACCTGAGGAACCCGCCACTTTCGGATTGCGAGACATTTTTGGGACACCCTGTATATCGCGGTACAGTAAATTTCCTCCAATTGTCCCTCAGCTTGTAAACAAGAATGGACAATTTGGAAAGAGAAGATACAATTATTCGACTCTTGCGGCTCGTTTTTGTAATCGTTGACAATCGGCAACTATAAAAACGAGCTGCAAGGGTCGAATAATTGGGTCACCTGAACCCTCCCATTGAATTACACGTACGACTGGTATTCGTCGTACGCGCATCACGATACAAGCGTCCTCGCGTGAAACGGGTCTTACCTCGCAACCCTTAGAAACGAAGCGATTGAATTTCGCTTTTTCCCGGAGTTTTCCTTCAGCGAAGTTTTCCGGTTCTCGAGGTTTCTCCTTCATTCGTTTACCTGAATATCTTGTGAGACATGAAGAACGTGTCAGTGTCTTGCTGGGCTGATATTTAGACATCTCGCGCGTGGCATTATAGGAATTGTTTCGAAAAACCTGTAAGTAATAGCTCGAGGAAAAGGAGCGATCGAGTGGTCCGCCAGGGGCGGGGATTGGGGACAAGGGGTACGAGACGGGAGGAACTGAGCGAGGGTGGAGCGAAACATATTACACGTTTACGATCCGGCTTCTCCGCGGCTACCTGCTCGCTCCATACTCTCTGCTCTCTGCTCCTTACTCCGCGGGGCCGGAGGTGAAGATACATATACGCGTGGAACATCGGGAAGCGTTCGAGTATCGCTCGTGAATACGCGAACGAGGAAGAGTAGCGGGAGAGGAGTGGGAGTAGCGGGAGTAGTGGGAGCAGCGGGAGGAGTAGGAGTAGCGGGACCGGGTCGAGAGGAGAACGAGGAGAGAAACCAGCGCTGGCCGAAGAGAAACGAGGAAGGCCGTGGACGGGTACGCTCGAATCCTATGGCGAGGGGGAACCGGCGGGGTTCCGAGAGACGGTCGGAGAAGAACAGGAGGATAAAGAGGGTTCAAGGCCGGGAAGATGGACAAACTGTGTTTACGGTAGGATCGTCGTGATGCGGCGTAGGGTAGTGGAGCCGGTTACTGTGGGGTGATCAATTGCTGTGACTTTGGTTTCATTTCGGTCATAATTAACTTTATCTTTAGCGGATAAGACGTATTAAATCTTTTATTTGGTTGATCTTTGAATAAAAAAATTATTATGTCTTATTCGATAAAGATAAAGTTAGTTACGACCGAAAACGATCCAATTGCTCTGCCTTTAGGTTGCTCTCGGGCACCATTAACTTTACAGTTATCGAGTAAAACGTACCAAATTGTTGAAAATAGACCAAATAAAAGAATAACAAGATTTCGTATGTCCTGTTCGATAAATATAAAATTAATTATGCCCAAAAGGAAATCGAAGCCACAGCTATTGGCCACGCCGCAGCAGGGCCGGGGAAAAATAGATTTTTCAAATAATTTGTATCTAATAGTTTATACATATAACTACGTAATATTCGTGCGTAATATTACTATCTCAAAAAAAAAGTTTATTTGCCATTCTGTAGTACACGAGAAGATACAAATATTTATAGTCTATTTACTATTTTGAAAATCTATTTTTCCTCAGCCCTGCACCTCAGTAACTGGCTCCACCACCCTAGCGTGGAACGGCGTCACATGGGGGGTCGATGCATCGCTAGTCGCATGTCTCGAGTCGCAGCCCGGTCCGTTTTGTTTGCGTTCTACGCGAGTACAGTTTCGGCCTTATAATCCAAGCCCGAAACCAGTTTTGGATCCGTGTGCGGCGTGGCGCGAGGGTCAACCGAAACGTCCCACTCGGCGATGGTGATGCGACTTCCACCCGCTAGAATCGAGAAGCGATCGTTGCTCGACGGAAAGCCGCGTGTGGCACAGAATCAGAAAATCGGCGAAAGACAGCTGACAGCCGAGGGGAATGGTCCGAGGCATCTCTCCTTCGGGGTGTGTTCGGGCATTTCTCCGATAACCCCGCGAGCTGTTATCGTCGCAGAGCACGCGACGAGCACTTCGACAATTCCGAGACAAAGCCTTCTTCGCTATGTAATCACGGAATTTTTTTAACGTGATAAAACGGCGATTACGTTTATGATTCACCCTGCGAACCCGCTTATTACCGTTTACACGAAGGCCGTGTGAACAGGAGGCGCGCGTAGTCATCGATGGAAGTAAACCGTTTAAAAGGGGCGCCGCGCGCGGCCGCTCGTGCAATTGATTCGAACGTTGGTATACGATTGCACGGGCTGCGTCGTAGTTACGATTTCTCTGGAACTCTATTCGCAGGGTTCCGTGTGGCGGAGCGGCGTGTTCGAAGGACTCGAGAGAAACGGATTTCCTACAGGTAAGAAGCGGGAAAGGAGCAGCCGGAGGAAAAAGGAGACGTTAAAACGCTGCAGAACGCAGATATGAAGCTGGGAATCGTCGTTGCGATAGTTGTCGGCGTGGCAATGTTGCACAGGTTAGTCACGCCTAGCGCGCACTCTGACTAACATAAGTTGCATCGAACGCTGTATAAACTTGCTTGAAAATCGTTGCAGCAGCGGCACGAACGGCCAAGCTATATTCGGACCGAATTGGCTGGACGGCCTGACCAAAAGTCTCGGCGACTTGAACAAAAACATTCAGGAGAGCGTGCGGCGCCAGAATCAAGAGATCACAGAGTCGCTGAATCGCGCACTGGGGCAGAGTCTGAAAGAGGCGGATCGCGCGATCGAAAATGCGGGTATGCTAGCGCTACAGTTTCTCGATTTTTTAGCCGGTCCTTTCACCGAGAGAGTGCGAGCCGTTTTCCCATACGATTTCGACGTAGTCTTTCCGGCGACGGAAGCCCGACGCGCGAGAGGTAATCGTCGAATTTGTTGCAGTCGCGAATGGCAGTATCGTCAGTGCCAACGGTAACAATATCGTCATCGCGTCGAACGGCGTATCGCAGATCCTTATATCGGGCCAAACTCCGAACGGAATCCCATACGTTCGCACGATCATGGAAAGCGTCCAGGACGGCGTGTTGCGACACGTCGAGGACATCTACTACCCCAAGACGAACCAAACGCAGACGATCGCGTGGACCCTGGATCTGAACGTTCCCGGAGCCAAGCCCGTGCCCATTGTCGACGATAAGGCGTAATTCTAATTGCTACTGCGTAAGCAGGTCCTGTCCACGATTACTGTTAAATAACCTTCAAATAAAGCAAGCTTCGTAAACGAAAGCAGGAACGAATCGATCCCAGCAGGAATTCTCGGCCGCCGCGAGAAAGCGGCGGACCGCGACGTCGAGCGCGCCGGCTCTCCGGCAAAAAGCCGCGTTGCATCGGCGGTGAACGATTCGCGAACGCGCGTGTCAAAGTGGCGCCGAGAGAAGCGAGAGATTGCGCGGAGGCTCCCTTAAATGGAAATGCCTCTGGCCTGTCCTCGATCGCGATCTTTCTCTCGTTCCCTTCTCCCGCGTCCCCGCCTCTCTCCTGGCCGCGAAGGCTGCGCGCGACTCTCCTCCTCTCGCATCGCATGGCCCGCGGTTCTTTCGCTTCCGATTGCTATCGCCGCGAATCGCTATGCCGATTCTCGATGCTCGACGCGTGGCATTGCGTTGCCTGGCATGGCGTGGCGTGGCACAGCGGCATGGCGCCAGTCGTCCAGCTGTCGACAATTTCTTCCGTAGGCGCGGAAACAGGTCTTCGGATTCGGATCGGCAGATTTCGGCGGTTCTCGTCGGATTTCGTCGGGTCTCGCTGCGACGACTCCCGGCACGGCCGCGCTACGGCAACGCGGAAACGCGAAAAATGGGTTACCGTGTAAAGAGAAGAGATGTATCGTGGACGAGGGCGCGTTAATTATCGAGCACGCGCGAGAACCGAACATATGGGAGGATCGTCGGAGGGCAACTGGAACGTTCGCGTTACGTTACGACGGATCGTGGTCGCGCGCCTAGCGGTACGACGGCAGCCGTTCTAGTACGCTGGGCGGGTTGCATGTATCGCGGGGAGACGCGCGACCGTATATAAGCACCGGACGCTGGAATTTCGGCGGTTTCGTCGCTTCTTCCCGGCGCTCTGCGAACGTTCGGGTGTCGCGAGGATAAAATCGAGATGATTCGTCGAGCGTTGCTCTTCTATCTCTTCTGCGCTCGGCTCTCGATCGATTGTTCGTTCGTCGAAGACAGCGTTCGCGTTGGAGCCGCGAGCTCGGTAACGAACCGATCGCGTGGATGGATCGTCGACGACCACGTGGACCGTGCTTCAGCGTCCAATGGGACCGAGGGAACGTCGGCAGAGTCGTTCGAGACGATCGAAAGGACCAACACCGCGAAGATCGTTTGGCAGAAGGAGGAGGAGGAGGAGGCCGTCCCCGTGATTTCTGGGCCTCGCGCGTGCGGGACCAGCGCGAAGAGCCTGAGCAGGCTCGTGGGCGGGCAACCGGCCGGTCCCACGGAGTGGCCCTGGATGGCGGCTCTTCTCAGAAAAGACGAGAGCCGTTACTGCGGCGGCGTTCTCATCACCGACCGACACGTTTTGACGGCGGCCCATTGCGTCTACCGGTAAGCAACGTGTAAACGCGTGCCACGTTGTTCCACGACCGCCATCGACTCGAATCCGTTCCGTTACTTTTAGCGCGTCACGGTTCCAGGCACGCTCCCAGAGACATCAAAGTGAGACTCGGCGAGTACGACTTCTCCGCTGCACCGGAGGACAGCAGAGCTTCGGACTTCGCGGTGTCCGAGATCCGGGTCCATCGATACTTCGACCGCGTTCTGTACGAGAACGACATAGCGATAGCGAAGCTGCTCCGACCGACCGTGTTCGACGAGCACATTTGGCCCGTCTGCCTGCCACCGATCGACCAGACCTTCGAGAACGAGGACGCCGTTGTCACGGGTTCGTTGGAAACGGGCGTTTCCGCTATCTCGAAGATCTACCACCGTCGGATCTGTCGATCTGAAAACGTTGGAACTCGCGATCCTCTTGTTTCAGGCTGGGGGACCAGTTACTACGGAGGCCCGGCTAGTTCGGTTCTGATGGAAGTCGCCGTTCCGATATGGCCGCGGAATCTGTGCGCTCGCAGCTTCGTCCGAAGGATTCCGGAGACGATGATGTGCGCGGGCGCGTACGAGGGAGGCCGGGACGCCTGTCAGGTACGGTGGTACATGGCATACGACACTACGGTGGCGTGTGTTTGATACGGCTATACCATTCGCCGATGCTGTTGGCCTACCACTTGGAAACCGTAGGATCGATCGCGTTTGTTTGCAGGGCGACTCGGGTGGACCGCTCCTGCATCGACTCGCCAACGGCAGATGGGTCAACGCCGGGATAGTGTCTTGGGGGATCAGATGCGGCGAACCGGGACGTCCTGGCGTCTACACCAGAGTGAACGCCTATCTCGACTGGATATTCGAGAACGCGGTCTTCTGAGTGGTCGCGGCGAGCCGAGGGACCGCGAGCAGCCGCGAGGATTCCAAAAACGACGAAACTTTATTTCCGAAATATCGATCGTTACATTCTTAAAAGAGATTGACACGAATAGAGAGAAATTTCGTCGCGTTGCGACTATTTCGTTACTTTCTTTGGCCGTATCGGGTGCTCCGCGTTACCGAAGCACGATCGTATCGAAGATGGTTTCGTTCGTTCGCGAGGCCCAGCCTCTCTAGCCGCCTCTAGAACACGCGTTTCATTCCTTTTTCTTTTCTACACCGACGCTTAAACTTTAACTCTTCATAAATATTTGAATATTACAATTCTTGTTCAACATAGAAATACGATGCGCTCGCAGAGAAACTCGTGGCCCGACTGGTTCGATTATTCACCGCCGGATCGTCCACGAATCGGTGACGCGGTGCATCCTCCCGCCTTTTAGAGTTGTTTAATTGGAACTCTCCTACTGAAAGCGCTGGTCCTCGGGAAGTAATTTTTTAGAACGAAAGTCGGCGGTGTTTCGCGCCGCTGATAATCTTAACGGTAGTTCGAAAGGGCGTTCCTTTCGAACGTGTGGACCCAAATTCCGATCGGGCTCACCGATCCGAGCACGCCGCCTATTCTAGACGAAACAACGATACGCTATGCGATAGGAATGAAATCGATCGTTACCTGCGCGAGGATCGCGCGATCGATCGAGGCAAAATTAAATTCGTGGACGGGAGGTCGCGTTCGCGTTCGCGTTCGCGTTCGCGTTTGCGTTCGCGTTTGCGTTCGCGTTCGCTGTCGCGGCCACGGTCGTAGTCGCGATTGCGGTCGTGGTCGCGGGCACGAGCAGAGGAGCGCTTGGACTGTTTTCCCTGTGATTCGGCAACGACTCGGCTTGGAATCGCCGTGGTTGCGACGTCGCGTTGACGGAAGTTCGCGAAGGCGACGCGACCACGACGTTTCTGTTCGGTTCATCGACGACACCTCCGCCGTTGTCGCGACCTCGACCGCTTCTCTCTTGATTCGAAATGGGTCGCTGATGGTCCTGGGCCCGCTGGTCGCCGCTTCTCGAAGACATTAGACCCGTGCTCGCGTTCGCCGCCGTTATCGTCACCGACGTCGACGCGTTCCCTCTGGGGACGATCTCCTTGCCCGACTTCTCGCCGATCAACCAATAGGTGGTCATTTTCCCTTTGCCCTAGAAACGAACACCGTTACGATAGCGTCGACCGTTGTTCCAGAGGTGGGGAGGGGGGAAGGGTCTCACCTTCAAGCTGACTTCTCCTCGGCAAACGAGCTCGAACGTTCCGAACGTGTCCAAGATCTCTTTGGTCTTCGGGCTTACGTGGATTTTCAGAGCTGCGGGAAACGAGACGAAAGATCGTGAGACGGAGACGACACCGCGTGAGAAAAGAGGGAGAATCGCGGTCGTACCTTCTCCGGTGCTCTCCATCCTCGAAGCGGTGTTAACGGTGTCCCCGAAGAGACAGTACCTCGGCATCTTCAATCCGATCACACCGGCCACGCAGGGACCTGAACAACGGGAGATCAACGAACGCTTTCGCTAGATTTCGAAAGAAGAGAAGAAGAAGAAAAAAGAAAGATTCGGCCGATTTACCAGTGTGCATGCCGATCCTGAGCTTGAGCTGCTCCTTCGGTCTGTGCCGAATTCTGAACGTCATCACGGTGTCTCGCAACGCCAAGCCCATTTTCGCGATTTCCCTCGCGTGGTTGGTCCCGTTCGGAACAGGCAACCCCGACACCACCATGTAAGCGTCTCCTATCGTCTCCACCTGTAAACGAAAACAACGATTCGTCGGATTCGTCGAACAAAATTCGAAACCGACCGCTCACCTTGTACACGTCGAAGTTCTCGATGATGGAGTCGAAACACGTGTAAAGATCGTTCAATAAGTCGACCACTTGAAGCGGCGTGCTCTCGGCGGACAGTTGCGTAAAGCCGACGATATCGCTGAAGTAGATCGTCACTTGGTCGTAGGTTTCGGCTATCACGTTTTGTTGGAGTATCAGCTGGGACGCGACGGACCTAAAAGTTGCATGCCCTCTCGGTCGTTAACGTCTCTCCTCCTCTCCCCACCCCCCCCCTCTCTCTCACTCTCTCTCTCTGTTTCGCAAGCGAAAGCTTTCGCGGCGAAAGTTTACCTCGGCAACAATTGATAGAGAAGCTCCTCGCATTTTCGTTTCTCCTCGAGGTAATCGGCGGTTCGCTCCGCCACGAGGGCCTCCAGGTTGCTGGCGTACTGCGTCATGCGGGAGAGCAAGTTGTCCAGGATGTTGCTCTCCTCCTCCCTGAAACGAGCGAACGACGCCGATCGTTTCCCATCGATCGAGCCCGAGGGAAACAGGGTCGAGGATGATGGGGCAGAGAGTCCCCCGCGCGTACATGGATCAACGGTGTCGCGATGGATCGCGTTCTTTAAACGGTTCGCGCGTTACAAACGAAACTTCCGTTTCGGAATCGCGTTTACGGGTAACTCGAGCCGGAACGAATCGAATCGAATCGAAGCCGCGAGTAAGCGTCCAAAGGGAATCTGCGCAGCATCCTAGTGTTGCCGATAGCTCGCGCAACAAGGGGCACACGGAATCGATCGAACGCTGCACTCTCGTTCGCACGAGTCTGTGACCGCCCCGTTCGCGCGCCGTTCGAAATGTCCACGACGGAGAGCTTTTATACAATCGGGGAAAAGGTGACGGAACTGGTCGCCGAAGGGAAACGCGCGGCTCGATCGATCCTCGGGCCCAGCCAACTCACGTGTTCATTTTCCGTATCATTTGCTTGAGCATGGAGAAGTCGGGTCGATCCGCCGCATCTTCCGCCCAACACCGATTCATCAAAACGATCACCTGTGATCGAAAACACGATCGTTATCGGTCCCGCATTTGGGCCTGTTCTCCGCTCTGTGCGAGGAAAGATGATCGCGCTTACCTCCTCCTCGTACGAGCTGTTGATCGCGGGCCTCAGCGGAGAGCCTCCGCCTCTCTTTACCCCTTCGACGATCTCTGAAACATAGAAGAAAAAAAACCGCGCGGTTGGTTCGCCGAGACCGACCCGGTTCGCCCGTCGGGTCGGCCGTCGGGTCGGCGAGATCGAAAACCGAGATCGTTCGCGTCGTCGATCGTAAACGGAGCGACCACCCCCGGACGGGGGCGCGAACGGTGGTGAATCAGGAAGAGAGAGACCTACTGTTGTGTTTGTACAAATCCTCCATGACGGCGTTGCACGTCTCGCAGTTGAGGGTGCAGTGGGGCCTGCGGACCTCGAGCAGGGGACTGACCGCTCTTCTAGGACTGGCCCCGCCGTCGGGGCTGGCGCCCGATATCGCCGGCAGCGTCAAGCTGCTCGTGCTCGACGATTTGCTTCTCTCCGCCATCTCTCGATCGATCTCGCGATTTTTCGCACGAACAGGCTCGTTAACTCTTAACTCTTCATTCCGTACACCCGACCAGCACACGTTTCCGTTTCCGTTTCCGTCTCCGTTTCCGCTCCCCGTTTCTCGACCGCCTCTCGAAAACAAGGAACGTGGGTACGATGCGCGCCGCTCCGACGGACGCTCGTCGACGATTATTCGTCGGGGGGTTGATCGCCCTCCGAGCCGTTCGACCACCCGAAAAGACCAACAACGTTCACGCTTCCGGCTCTACGGCGATCCCTCGATCGATGTATTCCCACCGAGATCCGTGGGATCGCTCTCGAGAACAACTTTCGGCGCGCTCTTCTCGAATCGTTCGCGAAACGAAAAAGCGAGACCGGCCGGCGTCGAGAGGCCGGCGGCAGTAGGTAGGTCCGTCGGAATCGATAGTCTGTTAACGAATCCGCGTTCTCCACGATCGAATCTGGTCGGAACACCGATATTCGCGACCGACGGTAATATTGCTCGGGAATCGATTCGTCAACCGCACGACCGACCCTCCGTTTCCAGGACGTTGCTACCTATTTGTACACCTATTTGGACCGTGGAACGTGGACCGTGGACCCGTGGTCCGTAGACCGTGTGTGGCACTGCCGACGAATCGGACGCACTGTTTCGACGCTTCGCTCCGCTCCGCTCCGCGTTGCGCCGCGTTGTTTCGGGTCCGCGCGAACCGATCAATTAACCGTCGACGGGCCACGGATACGGAATCAGGGTAATTGGCTTCGAAAAAGTTGCTCCCGCGGCGCGAGGCGCGAGAACATCGGAGAGAGCCGAGGGCGGGAAGGGACGCGACGCCGGGGAAGCCCACGAGCCTATGGGGAGAGGCTGAGCGAGAAGGGGTGAGCCGGCGGAGGAACGGAGGGCTGTCGAGAGCCGTGGAGGACCGTGTAGGGCCGTGGAGAGCTGCGGAGGGCTGGAAGGATGGAGGGTAGGGGGTTGAATATCGAGCAAACGGCGAAAATCGGGCCGAATAAATGGGTCGGTCGGGGTTGCTCGAACCGATGGTAAACACAAACCGGGCACGTACCGAATTGGAGTGGCATGTACGTAGCCGCGTACCGACGTACCAAACGTAGTATCGTAGTAACGTAACAGCGGCACGTCACGCACGTAGCTCGCGGGGAACACACTCGCTGACACCGGAACACGCAAACGCGTCGAGGAACACGCGCGCACCCACCTCCTTCTCCACAATCGCCGACCGTGGTTGGTTGATCAAACGACCGTAAACCAAGGCATACCCCGTCCAACGGAGGAGGATTCTGTCCACTCTCTCGTCGACTAGATATCGCAGGATCTCTGTCGTTTGGTCTCGCAGGATCGCCGAGGCCAGCCAAACGCTGCGGAACGTTGCGAATTCGGGCCGAAGGAGAAAACCAGGAAGGAAGTAGCCGATGAACGGGCGCAACCGGCGAACGAGAGAACGGGAGAACCGGAGAACCAGAGAACGAGAGAACGAGTCAACGAGACAAAACGGAGCTGCGAGCGAGCGAGCGACAGGGGTAGACGAGAAGGCAGGACGGAAAAGCAGCGAGTGCGCGAGACCGTGTGCGTTCCAGGACGCGAGAAAGCTTCGACTGAGCTTTCGAGCCCAGTCTCGAAACGCACGCTCCTAGCCTACTTGCGGCTCGTTCCATCCTGTCATCGATCCTGCCCGCTCTGTCGCCGAGACCGAGTTCGCGAAAACTCGTAAACTTTGTTACCGATCGATTCGCCCGCAGGGCGGCGCTTTCGCGGGGCTTTCGCGGCGCTTTCCCGGAGCTTGCGATCTCTCCTACCCTCGGATATATCACCGGGACGGGATCCGTCGATACGAAAACTTCCTCCCGCGACGCGACACGAGAGAGAGAGGAGAGAGGGGGAGGAGAACGAGACACGAGGACGGGCCAAGAACGAAACGAGGACGAGGCGAAACGATCCTCCCTTACCGGTCGAACCTCGCCCGATACTCGTCTACGCGTTCAAAGCTGTGAAAAAAGGGCTGACTTACCCCGCACGGTGAAACGATAGTTGTCGCCCAGATAGAACGGTCCCTTCTGCACAACGATCTCGTGAATGATCACTCCGAAGCTGTACACGTCTCCCTTCTGGGTGCCCTCCGGTGGTCGTCTCTCCATTCTCAACAGCTCCGGGGCTGTCCACAACTTTTCTGCGTACACGAGAAAACGATCTACCGTGTCGAGAGTAATTGGAATTCATGGTAGAATACGAATTAGGGTACATGTGCCAATTACCGTGCCTTTAAGCCAATTTTTGCTTCGCCGTAACTCTTCGTTAGATGCTGGAATTTTCGTTTAACGCGCTACAAACATATTCTGATTTTTCAGACTTTTTCGATCTGAAACACGATATCTGTTTGCACGATAGAAATTCATAATTTAACCCTTTGCAATCCGCTGTCCCCTCTCGTGAGACATCGTAATTCTAGCATATCACTCGGATGTCCCCTCTCGTGGGACATTAAAGTTTATTAGTAATTACGGGGAATTGAGTTATTTCAGCGCAACTTTTTGAGACATGCATGTTTCCCTGAAGTTTTCTCTTGAAATGGCACAAGAAATCAAATCAAAATATGGTAAAATTACTAAGTATATACAAGAAATGTCAGCGGGTTTTGACGAGAACGTGAGAGGCGTGCTCACGACGGTCCGAGCACTTCAAAGGCGCCATTTGAAAAGAGCGATAAGGCAAGTTTGTAGAAGAAAGGTCGGTATGCGAACATAGCACGCACTGTATAGTGAGATTTATAATCACAAAATCTGGAGGAAAAGATTTTCAAAGCTGAACTCAGTCTGGTTTGAAGCGTCGAGCGGTATAGATAGATCTAACGAGTGAGAAAATCGGAAAAGTGATTCTTCTCTTGGTAAATAAATTGTTTGGTAAAAGTTTTTTTGGTAAATATCATCTTGTGAGTTAGTAATAACAATTAGAAATTTTCAACCTATGTATTTATTCATATTTTTTATTAGAACAATGGCAAAACGTTCAAACACGAA